CTGGGGTAAAGCATTAAACAAACAAAGGGGATCCGCACGGAAATTCTGACCCTTAAGACACACACTGCGATCAATACTTCTAAATAAATTCATGAAGATCCATTAGAAACCACAGTTTCTTCCTTCACTGCAGCAGACTGGTTGAATAATTAGACTCAGGACACTGCAGCAATGCAGAGGTCAGAAGGATGTACAGAATGCTATTTTCAAGTTTACGTGTTTTCGGAAGGAACTGCAGCTAATTATACACAGGTGTGGTTTGGCTGGAGCCATACAGTGAGTCATAAGAAAAAAGAAAACTGAGCATACTGAGTCATGAGAAAAAGAAACAAGACCCGAGCACACCACAGAATCAGTATGGGTAGCCATAGTATGGGGAGGTGCCCTTTAAGAATGCATTAAGGGGCTGGAGAGATGGCTCAGTGGCTAAGAGCACTACTGCTCTTCCAGTAGACCTGGGTTCGATTCCCAGTACCCACAATGTGGATCACAACCCTCTGTAACTATATTTCTGGGGGATCTGATGCTTCATCTGTCCCCCAAGGGCACCAAGTACATACATAGTCACAGACATACATGACACAAAACACTCCAACACATAAAATAAACACGTATTTTTTTTAAAAATGCATTAAAGCATAAATCCACCCACACCCCCACAGGGGGTGTCCTACTTGCCTTGTGGATCAGCATCCTTTATCATGGTGAAAGCTTAATTTAAAAAAGCAGTCACATGCCTACCTCTCTGTACAGATAGAGGCAGAATTCCCAAGATTTAAGTTTTTCTGGTTAAAAACAAAAAAAAAAAAAAAAATCTAGTAAATGTGCTAGAGAGAAGGACAAAAAGAGTGTCCAACTGTTAAATAACTGGGGTTATATTAGAACTGCTTTCATATTTCAAGCAGTAGAAGCTAAACTCAATACCTAGCACTCATACATACAAAAGCTAGGTCTCATGTCACATAACTTAAAATCCCAGCTCTGAGGAGACAAGAAGACAGGTGACCAGCCAGGGAGAGACCCTGTCTCAAAAACCAAGGGGGCCAGGTAGTGATAGCTCAGGCCTTTAATCCCAGCACTTGGGAGGCAGAGGCAGGTGGACCTTTGTGAGTTTGAGGCCAGTCTGGTCTACAGAGTGAATACCAGGACAGCTAGAGGTGTTACACTGAGAAACCCTGTCTCAAAAACAAAACAAAACAAAAAACAGACAGAAAGAAAGAAAGAAAATCCAAGAACAAAACAAAAACCATGAATGTTAGAACCTCTGACTTACACAGGCATATACACACAAACAAACAACATGTATAGATACACACACAAGGGTGATGCAAAACCTAGGTATAGAGGGCTGGAGAGATGGCTCAATGGTTAAGAACGCTTGTTGTTCCTGCAGAGGATCTAGGTTCAATTCCCAGCACCCACACAGTGGCTCACAACTGTCTGTAACTGCTGTTCCAGAGGATTTGACATCTCCCAACTTCCCTGAGCAATATATATATATAAATATATATATATATATATATTTATATATATATATATGTGTGTGTGTGTGTGTATGTATGTATGTATACATATACATTTTGTGTGTGTGTGTGTGTGTGTTCAAAATTCCTGAGTATAACCTGTAATATCTTAAATCAGTATCTTGCTATTCGAACTATTTCTTCACTGGAGAATATATTTAATATAATATAAAGCAGGGGGAAACCTCTTCTACTCCTACTTTTTTATTAATAACAAGATCATTTAAGATCTTTAGACAGTTGCAGATATATGAAGTCAAAGTGGCTTCTAAATAATGATTTTTTGTTTGTTTGCTTGCTTGTTTTTTGTTTTGTTTTGTTTTTCTCAAGGCAGGGTTTCTCTGTGGCTTTGGAGGCTATCCTGGAACTAGCTCTTGTAGACCAGGCTGGTCTCAAACTCACAGAGATCCACCTGCCTCTGCCTCCAGAGTGCTGGGATTAAAGGTGTGTACCACCACCACCTGGCCTTAAATAATGATTCTTATAAATAAGAATTTTGTAGCATTTTACTCCAGAAAAAAAGAATTATTACTTTGTTAGCCTTCTTAGAGTAAAAGAATGAGCTTCAAGTTTACTGCATGGGGGGAAACCCCTTCATATATTCAAAGTAGTGTAAGATTATTTACTAACAGCAGATACTTAGAAACTGCGTTTGCAAAAAACCAGTACTGACTCCTCCCTTGGGTTCACAAGGTAACTAAAAGCACGATGGATGAAAAAAGAAACCTGAGTCTATAAGGTAACTAAAGCACGATGGAAACCTGGCTCCACAAGGAAACTAAAAGCATGATGGGAGACCTGACACCTCCACCTTTCATCCGTCTCCTCAGGCATTTCACAAAGCACCAGGATCCCAAAGACACCTTCAGGTTTCTGTCATTATCCTAAATTTGCCTTGGATTTTTGGTTCAACAGGGCCTTTAAAAGAGGGCACTAAACTACCCCAGAGCAACAGCCTGGTCGAAGACAGACTCCCCACCCACTGAGGGCAGTTGTGGGTGATAGTGAGGCCACCCTGAGCAGCAGAAATTATCTTCAATGAACCAGATCAGTCCCCTCAGCAGTGAGGGTGATTACTTCTCAGGGGACCAGCTTGCAACACCAGATCTGAAACAGTGATCTAAATAAAGGGCCATACCTTGACCAGAACTGCCTACTCATACCTAGCTATGGTCCTGCCCCAAGTCTTCCTTTAGTTAAAGGTCATGTCAGAAATCTGAAGGTGGATTTGGGGCATCCATTCCTCTCCAGGTTGATGACATCTCCTTTCTGTTTCCATTTCTGATCTTTTTCACTGGTATAATTAAATTACCCAATGAGGCTGTGGGAGCTGATATTTCCACCCTAAAACTCCGGCTGCAGTTTGTTCAATTACTGGGTGTTTAATCCCAGTTTTGGGGAAGCTCTAGAGGCTTGAACTCTTTGAGTTCAAGACCAGCCTGTACTACATAGCCAAGTTCCAGGGCAGCCAGGACTACATAGAGATGCCCTGTCTCAACACCCTCCCCCCCCAAAAAAAAATGTTTTTCATTTCATTTTCTCTTACTTTGCTTTGCTATGTATAGACTCACTTTAGATATATTTATTTATATGACATAACAACAGAAGGCATTAAAACAAGATGGCAATGGGTCTTGCTTATCAACTCAATAAATAAGGCAACCACTAATTTCTCTTTTAAAACAATTGCACACATTTGATTTTTTAAAAAGCAGACATAAAAGTCCAAAGGGAAACCAGTATTCATCCCATATAATTAAGCATTCAACTTGCCAATCTATGCACGTCCAGCCTTTACCAAGCTGATGATTTCAAAGGTCAAGACAGAACAGCAGTTCATAATATCTATGCTTACAGATGCATGCATGGGACCTGTTATATTCTTTCCACAGCACACAGAAATCTATCCAAGGCTGTTAAACCATTAATGCATCTAGAAAGACTTTGTTTAGGAATATAAATAGACACACTAAGTCAGGAGGGGTGGCCCATGCCTGTCATTCCTCTACTTGAGAGGTGAAGACAGGAAGATAGGGCAGATGGAAAGATTTGGATGGGGAGAAGGAGGGATAGAAATGAAATTAATACATTATATACTCAAACATGAAATTCTCAAAACACTGTGGATGCCCATAAAGATGGCTGCATTCCATCTTGGCACAAGGACAGAATTCAAGCTGTCAGCAAGTCACAAGACCTAAAGGTCAAAGGTGTGGCTACAGAAGGATGTTTAGGGCGTCTTAGTCTAAATAACAACAGACCTGAATCTGAGGTGTGGCTACTCCTGACTGTCAAGGCTAAGGAAGAAGTTGGATCTGAGGTATGGCTACTCCTGACCTCGAGGTTAGAGAACAAGAAGTTTAGAGCTAAGGTGTGGTTACTGAACCCTTGGAATGAGTGAGGAAGAAAAGTCTGTTTGTTCTATACACATGATACTGTGTTCCCCTTTTTGGTTATGGTATAGAAGAATGTCAAAAAATAAACTTGTGGCATTTCAGTATTGACTGATCTGCCCTCCTAACCTTTATTCTGTCTCTCTCTCTTTCTTTGTCTTCTATAGCTAGCCTTTCACTCATCCACACTCCCCCACTCAGGTATGGACTTGGGGTCACTCAGCTGGCTCCGGTTGCAGCCTTGAAAAGACCGCTCCCGACAAAAAACAAAATACCCTGATCATAACTTCAGCCTCATGGCTACCTATGATGAATTTATCACCACTGTTACAAAAAAGACAAAGAGAAGAACCCATAAGCATTAAGAGAAAATGCATATGACCTCTAAATCACCTTGACAAGACTGGAATGTAATAAACTTTTTTCCTTTTAATACATGCTTGGTGTAACTGGCAGAAGAGGGAAAGTGTGTGTGGGGGGAGGGGGATTAAGATTAGGTTCATCAAGCCTATACTACCTAAGACCCAACCTCAAAGGACCAAACCCAATCTAAACTAAAGCAAATAGATACTAGTAGAAAAACACATGTGAATTGTGAATTTATATATATATATATATTTATATACATATAAATATATATATATATATATATATATATATATATATATATTAAACAAACTAACTTATCTATGTTTGGTTTTTCTAGACAGGATTTCTCTGTGATGCATTGGAGCCTGTCCTAGAACTCGTTATGTAGACCAGGCTGGCCTCGAACTCACAGAGGTGCCTGCCTCTGCCACCCACCGCCCAGCAAGTTAACTTATCATAAAAGCGATCCCTGCATACATTGCAATGTGGCCCCTGTGAACTGAGATTTATAAAATGCTGACCGTGGTGATACATGCCTTTAACCACTACCCCTGGGAGATAGAGGCAGGCTAATCTCTGAGTTTGAGATCTGCAGGGCCTACATAGTGAGTTCCAGGTCAGCAAGAACTACACAGAGAGAACCTGTCTCAAGATAAACAAACAGACTTCTACAGCCTTCAGCATCTCTCTGCAGCCTTGTCTGTTGGGAACTCACCAACACAAGGTAGTAAGCAGCTAGCGCCGTACAATGGTGAATTACAAAAAACTTGTCGCCGATCACTTTCCAATTCAAAAGTATAATCAACAAATCTACAAGAAAAAAAAAAGTGAGATGTCACATTGGGATAAGGCTACTTGGTTTTGAGTGTATTGTCCACTAACTCTTGGCTGTCCACTCTGACACCACAGCGCTTAGTTCGGCCCTCCAAGTCCCTGACTCCACCCACTTTCCCACAAAGTCTCAGCTCCTGTTTACCTGCCCCGCCCTCCCTACTGTGGCTACCCCAGAGCAAGGGCCAAGCTAGGGGTAACTTCATAGCCTCAGAACCCAGTGGCCATACCCAACAGTACTAACAACTGCTAGAAGTATATAAGCAAACGACTTGCTGCCAGAGTTAAACAAGATAAAATTAACGATACACTACCTTACCATGCTCTCAGCAGGAAAAAAAAAGTCAAAAGATACAGATAAATATTAATGAAAACTAGTAAATCCACCAAGAACTATGACTGCCCAAAAACTCTACAAATAAGAGAAAGCATTTCTCATTCAGAGATTCAGTCTATATACCGTGACTTGGAAAATGGTTTAGTTTAACAAAACTGCTCAAAATATTAACACAACTATTTCCTTTAGCAAATGGTTGAACATCAAATGTAGCCAGGGACCACATGGGTTCACACTTGTGGCATCAGAACTCTAGAATGTAGAGATTTGATTTTTAAAAACAAGAGTTACTAGCACAAAACTAGATATAAACATTTTGAAATCTACAAATTTTAAAGAGAAACTAAATACTATAACTAAGAAAAATAATATAAGCATATCACTAGTTACCTGATGCCTTTCTTTTATATATCATTCTTGTTTCCTGTATGTCTTGTTTGCATTTTCCTTGGTCACAAGCTGACACTTCTGTAGTATATTCTATAGAGACCAAGATGACTTTACTTTTGTGTGCTCAATGCTTTATGGATTGCTATTTAGGAGAGTCTTAGTGATAATTTTATTCTGTACAGGATTCTGGACCTGTTGAGGAGGTAGCTCTGAGGAGTGCTTGCCTAGCCTAGCATGCATAGCGGCCTGGGTTTGGTCCCCAGACTATATGAGCTACATAGTGGTGCCTGCTTATAATTTTAAGTTGAGGCATCTTAAGGTCAAGGTTACTCTTGGCTACATAGCAAGTTTGAGGCCAGCCTGAGCTACAGGGAACCCTGTTTCAAAAAAAAAAAAAAAACAAGCTAACCTAAAAAAAGATTGCCTGAAAGTTACTATTCAGCAATGACAGTATCTTTGACCCAAGAATGTGACACAAGATGAATTGTGTGGTAGTGTCAATGACATCACTTTCTGTCAAAAGAGCAAATCCTTCCCAATATGCTGATGGAGTTCCTTTTTTAAAAATGGCTTATCAAATATTCAACAGTCCATCATTTCTCTAAAATTTACTTATTTCAATATAATTATTTTGTCACAATTCACATGTTCTTGGCACATAAATTTTCTGAAATTCATCCCTTGTCTTATCATTGTTATCTACCAACTTTTACTTCCAGTTATTTAGTAAGTTTTAGAATTCTTATATAAATGTCCAAATCGTGGCTGATATCTTTGCTTGATTATCCAAAAGATAATCCAAAACATTTGTAACTGCAAATGCCAACAGAAACCCCAACCAACATGGAAAAAAAAAAAAAGAGGGAGAGCATAGGAGAATGTGGAGTCACAGCCCACACCTTAACTGACCATGTCTAGACAGCTCACGTGTGTAAACTTTACCCAAATAAAAATTTCGTGACTACTGGAACATTTTTCAAGGGCTAGTGAGGGACACAGGCTTAACCATAATTAGCCTAATAGTAATTATTCTAATAGGCTTTCTGGGAAAGAGAAAGGTCATTGTTTTACTTTGTTTTTTCAAGTGTTAAGACCTTAGCTGTTTGAGGCCCCTCTGCAATCTTTCTCAATCTATAAAGACAAAAACTAAGCTCCAGGCTTGCCACCATTGAAGGTTTTATTTTTTCCTCTACAGATCTTTAAAGCTGTTTTTCAAGTAAACGGAAAGCATAAACAATAGATTCTTTGCATCACTCCATGAGTGGTTTGAAAAGTAATGAGCAATGAAAAGGTGTTATCACATACCAGAAATGAGGTAGCCTGAAGCAGTTGCAATATTCAATTTCACATGCGTTGAATCACCCCTATATATATTTAAAACAAGAATCCAACACATTATCTTCTTAAACACATGGACAGTATTCTTTTTCATCTGATTTAAGACAAGGCTTCATTCATCTGGTCCTGACTGACCTTGAACTTGCTAGGGCCAGCCTTGAACTAGAATTCCTGATGTCTTGTTTCCACTTCCCCTGCTAGGACCACGGGATACAGTAGCACACCCAACACAGTACCAACTGTTTTAATCAGAAGATCTGTTGCCCATACTTCCAACATAGTTTACTCAAAGGCTAAGGCAGTCTCCAGAATCTTCCAGAAGAGGACCAATCACTGATTTTTGGCATTTAAACTAGGCTGAAATCCTACGTGTTTTCTGGAGTGCATAGACCTATCGCTGATGCTCCAAATCCTGGGGCTTCACACCCCGTGTGTTTTTGCTTTAAATGCACAGGCAGCATCAATGCACTTCTGGAGGATGCCTAAGGACCTATTGGCCTATGTGAGGAGTGGGTCACTAACAATTCTGCACTGTTCTAAACCTATCTAAGCACACTGTTAGGTTAAGATAATACTTCTGACTGTACACATAGACATAATTTTTACATACACATATATGATTTTTAAGTACAAAAAAATTTACAAGTAAACTTGTAAATGTGCCATCAAATGATTTGTTCACATAAAGACTGAAATAGAATTTTAGATGCTGATTTTTAAGAATCAGGGACTCAAATGCAGAAACCATCTATCCTACCTTTGATTTTGAGGCAATATAGTCCTGTCAATATTATTCTACTGAGGATGGGAGGGATTTGCCTATTAACTGAGAATATGGTCAGAACAGGACAATTTGACCCTGGCATTGTGATAAGGGCCACAGATGCATATCAATATGATGAATTTACTTTAATTTTTTCTATTTGTTTATTATTAGTAGTATATTGTGTTAGTCATGTGTGTATATGACATCTGTGTGAGTATAGGTGTGCAAATGCTACTGAGTTTGCAGCATGTGTGTGTCTGTGTGAGTAGGTCAGAGGACAACACTCAGGAACCTGCTCTTTCATATTACCCCTTTTATATGCACTCCAGGAGTTAAAAGTCAGGTTGCCAGGCCTGGGCAGGACATAACCTGCTGAGCACCTCACTAGCTAGATGGCCCGTATTTGCTCCACTCCATCCTGCATATGATTTGTAACATGTATTACTTTAAAATTAGCACAAAAACTGGTAATATCTGAACAAAAATGAAAATGCAGAAGAAAAATCACATTTCCTTCATTCATTTTGACCTATAAATACAATCCAGGAAAATTAGACCTGGAACACATCATAGAACTAAACTAAAAAACAAAAATTCCCATGAGGTTGAAGTTTACCAAGGCAAAACTTGACCAAGGAGCCACATCTTTTTTTTTTTTTTTTTTTGTAACAAAATGTACTCCTCAAAGGACTTGTTCTGTTTACAATCATTTTAGAAAAATAAATATGGGGGAAATTAAAGCTACAGTTTATTTAGGTTAAGAATAAAAAAATTTGCTCATGGTATAAAATAAGCTAAATTGAGTATTTTGGAAAAAAATATCTTCCTAATGAAAATGAATCAGGTGGTATATAATCCTAAAGAGATAATTTTACACTTATGGCAGGGGTGATATCCTGTAGTCACACAGCAGTGGTCTAAACACTTAGGCAAATTGTCCTGTATTCCACAGAACACACAGTCACCTCACATCTGTCCCACACACCTACTCCCTCACATTAAGCTGACCTAACCCTTCCTAAGTAACTCCAGCAGTCTGCAAAATTTCTGCAATTGCAATCATACTTAATGTTTCCAGGAAGAGCCACCTTCAGGGTCACCTAAGGTTATTACATGTACTAAATCATCATATTTATGTGTTTCTCATGTCATTTTAATCTGTCTCCCATGGCCATCTGTAAGTCTCATTTCAGTTCTTTGGTGACAAACAGTGGGTAACACACAAGTTTAAAGGCAAGGCTTTAGTGATCACTCCAGCTGACCATCCTAGCTCAATGATGATACTGTTTTGCTCACAACAGTTTTTGTAATACCTTGGTTTTGCTCAACTAATCATATTCTCTTTGTCTTAGGTGGCAATTACAATATGAAAGCAAAATGGCCCTCAACATTTATGCTCACATCTAAAATCATTTTAATACAATTGGCTGAAGTAGGACTGACTATAAGCACTTTAATAAGGCATACAAAGATAATCAATATGTTTTAAGTAATGCAAATAAGGCTATTAATAATTAATAGAAAAGCATTCATCAAAATGAATAGCTCGGAAAGAAACAGCTTACCAGAGTGGATCAACTATAGTAGACTCATCAAATAGGAAGAGGTATAAACCAAAAGTCCCAACCAGCAAAGAGTGGCACGTAGATACTACCCTGAAATGAAACAAGGCACACACAGAGTTCAGATTCCTTGCAATAAAGGATTTGTTACTCCCAAGACAGTTTCCATCCTAAAAAAAAAAAAAAAAAAAAAAAAACACCTCATACCTCAAAGCACTAAAAGTTAAACGTGAAAGATTGAAATGTAGGAGTAGAGGCTGAGGATGAGTAAAACTGTGATAGGTTCAATCCCCAGCACCATTAATAATTAATAATTAAGGGCCAGGGTGGTGACATACACCTTTAATCCCAGCATTCGGAAGGCAGAGGCAGATGGACCTCTGTGAGTTTGAGAGCAGCCTGGTCTATGTATCAATTTCTACACCAGCTAGAGTTATATGATAAGACCCTGTCTCAAGAGACATAATACTAATACTAATATTAATAATACTACTAATAATAATGTAGTCATTTAGAAATCATAGATCCACAACTTTATTTTTAAATGAGCAAGTTCTATACTCCTGGGTGAATCACTTCTGTCTGTGTTAAGGTTCTATAGTGGAAACATGCATGATGACACCATTGATAGCATCTTGCCTAAATTGTCAGAGATCATAAGGCCACAACCCTGCATCCTCCAAGTTCCATCCACAGCAGTGTCTGCTATCACCTGGCACCCAAATCCTGTGTTTAACTCACCACATGGAGGGCTTCCTACAGCCATTCAAAACCCTATGAGAGGAAAACATAACCTCTCCGGAAGACCTGAGTAGTGGTTAGTAACCATAAGTCCAAAAAGTTCCCATTTGGCTCACTCCCAGGATGGATCAGCCAGTAAAAAGCACTGGCTGCTAATCCTGAGTCCCAGAGGACCTGAGCTCAGTCCCCAAGACCCATGGGGTAGAGGGAGGGACTGTCTGACACCCACACACATGCAATGGTGCATGTGCCCACAAACATACAAATATACAGAAAGCATAAAAACCTTTAGGTTTCCTTTTGTAAAATCCAAGTTTCAATCCTGACTTCAAGAGTTAGTCTTCCTGAGGTGTGTTATATGGTAATCGAAAGTACAGTAAGTTCTCAGATGATGGAAAATGACATTTAGTCGAAAGCTCTTGCTATACTGAACAGAAATGGGAAGGCAGATACTGTGGACTACCTGAGTCTGTATCAGAACCTTCACTTATACCCCTGAGTGTGCCTACAGCATCGGGGAGGTGGAGGCAGGGAAATCAGACGGCTATTCTGGGTTTCATAGCGAGTTGCAGGCCAGCCTGGGATACATGAGACTCTGTCTCAAAATCACAAAATAACAATAAAAGTCTATACTTGCAGAAGTTGCTGTTGGTAAACAGTTGCGTTTTTTAATCTTTTTCAAACCATATTCCTAGAAAAGCAAAAATGTAGCTCCTGTAGTAGCAAAAAGAATCGCCAAAGGGAAAGATTTCATATGTCACAGCTGGAAGCTGTTAAGACATAAATATGTACTTTAAGTACAGCCCAACTTTCCTTTATACTCTTTATCTCTAAGTTCCAAGTATACAAACTGGAACAGGAAGCAGGAAAGAGAGAGACCAGGAAAACACTATTTGAACAGCTAAATTAATCTTGTATGACACCGGATTCCTTCTTCAAAGCAGAATTTGGTTTCACATGTTATAATTTCCTGTACCACAGAACGGTGATGGCACTGAATAAAACGCAAAACAGTTTCCGATTTCATCCTCATCTCTGCTTCTATCTCTCAGCACCCTGCCTATTTCTTTGGCTTGCAGCTACGCAAGATTCAAAAGCTTCTACATATTCTAAACACATTGAAAGGGAAACAGAATCTATGCCTCTCCCACTACTCATCTTTCCCACCACTCCTTCTATCTTCAAATGTTAGAAAAAGTTTGTTTGTTTGCTTAATGATATAGGGGCTGAAGGGATGGCTCAGTGGTTAAGAGTACTGGCTGCTCTTCCAGTAAGTTCTCTTCCCAGAATCCACATGGGAGGCTCACAACCATCAGTAACTCCACTCCCAGGGGATCCAACACCAATTCTGACCCCCACAGTCACCAGTCAAGCACATGGTGCCCAAACATACATGCAAGCAAAACACCCATGCTACATAAATAAAATAATACAAATGTGTTTGCACAGGATTTCCCTGTGCAGCTTGAGAGCCTGTCCTGGAACTAGCTCTTGTAGACCAGGCTGGTCTCAAACTCACAGAGATCAGCCTGCCTCTGCCTCTGCCTCCTGGGTGCTGGGATTAAAGGCATGAGCCGCCACCACCTGGCTTAAATACTACAAATTTTTAAAAGAACAAATCTAGAAGGCTCTAAATTATAACTGGAAGTTCATGATAAGGTATAGACCATACACTCTGCCCTCTCGTCTGTAGAATTCAATCAAGCTGCATGTGGCTAACCTGAATGGGCTATTCAACAACTCCAGGAAATGTTTCTTTCATTACTACCACAAAAGGATGTGTTTATTGTGTGAATTTTTCAGAGAGGGATGCAAAACAGAACTTCCTATCGCCAGCCAGAGTATACTAAATTTTCCTAAACTTACCTAGAAAATGAAAGAAAATAAAATGTCCCTAGCATTTTTCATTTATATGTATGGATGTTTTTCTGGCATGCATGCTTAGTGCCCATGGAGGCCAGAAGAAGGTATCAGATCCCATGGAATTGGAGTTACAGGAGACTGTGAACTGTGATGTAAGTGCTAGGAACTGAATCCAGAATCTATCAAAGAGCGGCCACTGCTCTTAACCACTGGGCCGCCCTGAGCCCCAACATCTTCTAATGTAAGAATTCTTAAACTTTGCTTGCTTGAGATCTTGTCTGTCTTCTTTTCTTAAGACCAAACCAAAAAAAAAAAAAAAAAAAAAAAAAAAAATGACCTTGAATTTCCCAAGATCCTAAAGGAAGACTTTTCCTTCGTAAAACTTTTTAAGTCAATCGATAACATTTTCATGGCTTTACCTTGAGTTCCATTCGATCTTCTTCTCGATGCTAAGGCTATTGTAACCTGGGGAAACTTTTGCTGAAAACCAGTAACTTACAAAATGAAACAGAGTCTGAAAGATGGCAAAGCTGCTACACACAGTGCCGATGACCAGTTTGGCGTTGGCTTCCATAGCTCTTCACCCTGCCAGGAGAGACAGGGCAGCTCTCAGTCTACAATATTTTAAAAATCTTACTTAATAAGCATACATTTATTTCAGTATTTCTAGTTAAAGTATAGAAATATTACCATTTTCAACCTAAGGAAAGTAAACCAAAAATTGTGAGCCTCCTGTTTCTTCTCATTTCCTATGTATGTGCCAAGGGTCACAATTCACTTACCTAATCTTAGGAGTTTAACATTAAGAGGAAATTTCAATTGCTACATTGAAATTATTCTTTGAACAATACTGTTTTGATTTCACTTTGACTCAATTTCCTCATCTATAAATTGAGAGTTGGCCAGGTAATTTCGAAGAAATATTTAAGCCCCCAAATCTCAGAACATTGCCTACAATAACAAACAAAAGATAGATTACAAAGTTAAAAACCGGTTATGTTATAAGACAGAATAGTTAGCGAGACCATCCGGCCTCAAAGGGTCACATACTCAATGGACAGAGGGTACCACCCCCTCCCCAAGCTTGTGGGTTTTGCCTTTAAAAACACCTGTGCCCGGGGGATGGGGCTTCTCTCTAGCCTGTGTGCTGGAGGAGCCCATTTGCACAAACATTTCATTAAAGGTTCATTAAAGCCTCTTGCGTGTTGCAAAAAAAAAAAAAAAAAAAAAAAAAAGACAGAATAGTAATTGAAGACAAAGTTTAAACTTTAAGGAGAAACAAGTAATTAAACACAGAGGCTGAGAGATGGTACAGTGATTAAGGCCTGGCCACTCATGTACCAGACGAGGGTTTAAGTCTCGGCACCTACATCTGGTGACATCCAACCACCTGTAATTTCAGGTCCACTGTATCTGACCTTTAGGCCTACATGGGCACTGCACTAGCATACACAAACACACATGCATATACACAATTAAATATCAAATCTTTTTTTAAAAAAACACATCATTGTGACTATTAAGTTATTGGTAATGTTAACATTTTTCCTTGGACCAAAAAGCTTCCATAGCTTTTTTTCTCTCTTTTACAAAAACTGTTTTGTTTGACTTTAAAAAAATAATAAAGGAGCTTTAGGTTTTAGGGACAGTTAGTGAAAAGGATAGCAATTTTCTACATTGCTGGGCTGAACTTTCATCTTAAGGCCAGACATAATGGTGCACGTCTTCAATCCGGGCACTCAGAGGAGGCAGAAGCAGGTGGATCTCAATGATTTTGAGGCCAGCCTGGTCTACATAGTGAGTTCCAGGACAATCAGGGACACAGAGCCATATAGTTTCCTGAAACCGTGTCTCACAGTGGGAAGAAATCTTAGGTGCATTCAGCCCAAAAAGTGCTAAAGCATTTGACTCATTTCCAGCAGTACAGTATTTCTATCTTTGATGGGGCTGATGCTCAGATGAGATGGAAATGAATCAATACACATTCTCAAGCTTCTAATTTGAAGAAATAAAGTCACTTACTGAAGCCAATTCGTCAGAGAAAAACGAAGTCATTGCCTGAGCTAGCAATAACCCCACTCCATCCCCTGCCAACCAGGACATCTTAATTTGAATCAGCCTCCCATGGGGCTCCTTATGACAGAATTCATTATCAACCTGCCCCCCTCACTGCTTCTCTATGGGTGTATGCTTGGTAAAATTATTGATATTGCAATTCTTTCATGTAAGACTGCATTAGCTTCATTGCTCATTTAGTTATTTTTTGTATTTCAATGTGTGTATAAGGAGCATTAAAAAACTAAAAATTTGTGGCCTTTTAGCTTAGGCTTGCTACTAACTAAGTAATATATAAAAAGTAAGCTTTGTATACCAAATAAACATGTTATTGCTTGATTATGTGCAGCATAATGAAAGGCACTTTTCCAAAGGTAAAGCAAACACAAACCTGTTGGCCAGGTGGATAGATAATTAAAGAAAATGGAATCAGTGACCAGAAGATAGTAAGAGGCTAAGCCAGTGGTTCTCAGTCTGTGAGTCTCAACCCCTTTGGGGACTGCACATCATATATTTGCATTAAAATTCATAACAGAAGCACAATTACAGTTATGAAGTAAGTGGCAACATGAGGAACTGCATTAAGGGGTGTCATCCTTAGGAAGGCTGACAAGCACTGCTCTAAGCTGAATTGAGAGTGTGATTGGCTTGAAGGCTTGGCCCTGGGGCATGAGCTGCTGGCAGACTTTTGTTAAAATTGGAAGTATACACAAGCATTTCTTGAGTGCTTCCTAAAAGTTGTCATAAAACTTATCAGACATTATTGAGTTTGTGAATAACTAATTAACTAATACACCAAATAAAGCACTCCAACAATTCACCATTAAGAAATGCATCATGGGGCCAGGCAATCAATGCATGCCTTTATTCCCAGAAGTCCAGACTCTAATCCAAGCACTAGGGAGGAGCAGGTAGTCTTCTGGCCAGCCTGGTCTATATAAAAAGACCCATCTCAAAAGAAAAACAGAAGGGAAGAAAGAAAGAGAGAAATGGAATATGGGCTCAAACAGTGACTCAGGTACTTTTCACCACACCGGACACCTGAGTTCCAACCCTGGGACCCACACATTATAAGGAGAGAACCAACTCCCACAAGTTGTCCTCTGACCTCCACATGCATGCCTTGGCACAAATCAAAGTGCGTCCATACACGTACACATGCACAGTCACGCACGCACATGCACATTAAGTAAAAATAATTTTAAAAACTACATTACTCCTCTAAGTCCTAGATTTTATGAATTATTTGTTATATTGAAAGAATGTTATATATTTTTAATAGATTTCGTTATTATTTTATGTAGTGTTTGCCTGCATGTATACATACACACCTAGTGCATGCCTGGTGCCTACAGAGACCAGGAGAGGGCATTGGGTCTTCTAAAAAATTATGAATAGTTTTAAGTCTTCTTGTGAGTGCTGAGATTAGAACCCAGGTCCTCTGCAAGGACAGCAAGTGATTTTACCTGAGAGGTCATCTCTCCAAAACCCAATATTTTCAAGACTTATTTTCTGTTTGCTTGAGTTACATGATAAGAGTATTTCTTCTCCAAAAAAGAAAAAAAGTTTCATTTATTACTAAACAAAGAGCACCATATATTCAAGCTGTGACTTCTATTAAAGGCTCAGCAGACAGAAGCTAATTAAATTGTTCTACTCTCAGCTCTGCTTAATAAGCAGCTGCTTGCTTTATCAGTCATGTCAAACCAAGGACTCATACATAGAGTATTACAAACGCTGCCCGCCCTCCCCCCCCCACACACACACCAAAAACTAAAGGCCTCTTGGTAGAAGCACTTGCCCCTGTTTGTTCGCTTCAGGTGCCTAAACCAGACGATGGAATGGTAAAAATGGACAGAGCAAATGATGCCTGAGATTAGCCGAGATAAAGGGCCTCTGAAGACTTGGCAGTCACTAAGCACAGGCGATCACCAAAAGAGCAGAGAATCATTAAGCCTCATTCATGCACCTCTACATGTGGCCAGCAGCTGGTAGGAAGCTAGGAGGCAGTCCTAGAGGGAGCTGTCCCAGAAAAGAGCCGCTGAAACAGGCAGGAGAAACGAGCAAGACTGTTTAAGAGATGATGAATTCTACCATATAATTAGCTGTCTGGGCTCACAGGAACTGTGGACACTAAAGAAATGTCCACCATCTTGCTGAGTATGACGATGCTTGCTGGTCCTTTCCCCACAAGATGACACAAACTTTCAGGAGCTGACCTTACATCAAGAACAAGCCTAGATCTCTCCCCTCACTATGACAACATTCCTCCTGCATGCAGAAGGACATTCACTTTCATTTCTGAAGGCATGACCCTGGAAGTAGCAAAAGGAGCTGATTACATCTTCACTCCAGAACCAACAACAAATGCATCCTACATTTGCCACTTGTCAGCTGTATACCAGGTTTTCTGCTGGGAGACACAGCTGTAAGGCAAGGATATCTATTAAAAATCTCAGGGTGCTACGGAATGTCCCTTGCTCACTAGGAAATAATAAATATCTAGTAGAGATAGTGCATAGTGAAGAGATTTATCTAATGGTATTTGGTGACTTGAATAAAAGAGAGGATAATAAAGGAAGAAGGTATTCTCTTTGTGTGTATATATGTGTGGGCATGTAGGTTTGCAGAGGCCATTCCTCAGGAGCCATCTACCCTGGTTTTGTGGTTTTGTTTTTGTGGTTTTGTTTTTGCTTTTGAGACATGCTGTTTCACTGGCCTGGAGCTAGCCAAGTAAGCTACACTAGCTAGCCAGTGAGCCTCGAGATCTGCCTGTCTCTTGACAACCAGAACTGACTGTTTTTTCTTTCAACCATAGGTTCTGAGAACCAAACTTAAGTCCTCATGTTTGTCTGGTAAGCACCTTACCAGGCAACAGCCCGTCTCCTGGCCCAATACTTCCCTTTTATTGAAATACCTACTGGATGCTTTGAGGCTGGAACTCAAACAACACAGTTCCATTGAGTGTTTAGAACCAACTCCTCGCCCACAAACACAATTCCGATTCTCATTTCCCCCAGTACAACATTCACTTGTAAGATTTATGAGGGAATATATTTGAATCACCAAAGCTGTTTCCACGCAGGCATGCAAGTAGGACCTGCCGCAGTGATGTTTAGTGGTAAAAACCCTTAAAGGGGTATGGGATAGGGCTGTGTGTTTGTCTTTAAGACCAGCAGGGCAGAAGGAAGCTGAGAACAATGCCTCACTCATGCTTAGCATTCCTTTTCCATCCCTCCCTAGTTCCCTTCCCCGTTTCCCACATTTATTCCAGATACATACGCCAGCAAATCTCCAGCTGTGCCTCTCTTCTAGTAGAGTATTCCTTCCCATTTCACAAGGAGGCCACCTGGCATGAACTCTCTTAACTTGACATGGTTCACTGTCTCGTTCCACCCTGGACCTCCTCTCTGAGCACTAGACTGGGCCTGGTTATGCCATTCCTCACCCCTAACACAGCCCTCCTTATACGCAGCTCCAGTCCTCCCCAAGGGGAAACTTTCTACACCAGTAGGAGCTAGCTCTCAAGT